AATGGTTCAGCTTTCTCTCCTTCCTCCTCTGGAAAAAGGACATGACCATTCAAGGATTCATGTTCATAGTTTAAAAAAACAAAACTAAACAAACAAAAAGAGAGAGAGTGGGAGAGAGAGAAATGAGGACTCCAGAAAGGGCACTGTCTTGGGGAGGAAGATGACTCAGGGGACTTCAGGCACATTGACTTTAACATACTTCCCAACAGGAAGTTCAGATGAAGTTCTAAAATTTAGAAGGGAGTCCCAGCTAGGGATATAGATTTGGAAATACCAAAACTTGCCGACAACAGGTAACCAGTATTCCTCTGCTCCTGTCCTCTCTTCTCCTTGGATCTGCTAAGATCTTCCTAGTACTAGTGTCTCCCTTTTAGACCCAGCCCACCTAAGCTTAAGCTGGAACTCGACACTGGCTCAGAGCTCACATCTCCCATGTGCCTTTCTCTGCGCTATGAACTTCTGTGACATCTCAATTTTTAACTTTCTGCATTAGCTTCAGATGTGCCTAGTGCATTCACGGTGGTGCACCCTCCACTTTGTCCCTGCCTGAGATACAGGATCTATTCCGTAGCTGCTCTGCACCTACATTGGCTCAGTTCTGAAATGTCTACCCCACTCCCATTAATTTCAACAGTCCTAGCCTTAGAACCATGTCGGAATTCAGGATTCAGGGTGGAGTAACCATCCAACAGAGGACCTCCTCTTCCATCTCTTTAAGGAGGCAACTTAATTACCTGTTGAAGGCCATCCAACTTCCTGGCTGGTTACTATGCTTAGAGTCTGGATCAGGTAAAAACAGGATAGAAAACAGGTCTAAAATCTCCAGGACATCAAAAGTCCATTGGTGGAGCGGGGTTCAGTGAGAACACACTTGAGGTATAAGCACTGATAATTCAGGTAAGACAGAGATGGGGTAAAAGCCATGAAACCATAAGAAATGCAGACTTAATGGAGCTTTACATCCGGGAGTATAGCACAAATACAAAGATAAACATACAAAACCACTTCCTGCTCTGAAATTGAGCTTGAGAGGAAAGTACTTAGACATCTTCCAAGAAAAAGATAAAGATTAGGGGGTCACAACAATAAACAGCGGGACTGGGCAGGCCAATTCTAAATCCAAAGGGTGGAAAGCAGAAACTCTTCTAAAGAGACAAAAAATTTCTCTCACATAATATTCTTTACCTTCCTAGGAAAGCCACGTATGTGTGCAGTTTAATCGTATGTGTGCGTTACAGGAAAATAATCTATACGATCTATCCAAAGTAAGCACAGCTCTCATATTCTAGTGGTGTTTTCAAAAGAGAAAGTTGCAGAAAACTACATGTCATAAGACAACTTCCATTTTAAAGAATAGTGTTTATCCATTATTTCAAATTCCTTTCCCCTCAGATTTGGGCATAAGCACCACTTTCTCTCCCATTCTGAACTCATGCAGCCTGGGTCCTGTCCTCCCCTTTACATCAGGATGCTTAGCTACCAACACTAGTTGTGTGTTTAGTACATCAGGTGGCATGATGGGCCAGTTCATCACCAGCTCCCAGGCACTTTTTTGCCCTCCTCTCAATTGCAAGGCATATTCCACCTCCCAGAGAGCTGTTCCATCTCCCTGACCTGAGACCTAAAAGCTCAAGAAGCTGCGTGTCTCTACCCTCTACACAGCAGGCTCAGAGAGAGTAGATGAAGTGGCCCACGGAAGTTCCAAGCAAAACAAACCCTGCATCTTATTAGTCTAGAAGAGAGGGATGATTCTCTCAAGTGCTTTAATAAAAGCAAAACTGCCTAGTGAATGTCAGAGTCATCTCTACTGAGACCTTACCTGGGGTTTTTTGGATATAGAGTCTTACTACATCACCCGCACTAGAGTACCAGGGCATCACAGTCCACAGCAACCTCCAACTCTTGGGCTTACACTATCCTCTTGTCTCAGCGTCCCAAGTAGCTAGGACTATATGTGCCCACCACAATGCCTGGCTATTTTTTTGTTGTAGTTGTCATTGTTGTTTGGCAGGTCCAGGCAGGGTTCAAACCCACCAGCCCAGGTGTATATGGCCGGCACCCAAGCTGCTGAGCTACAGGTGCTGAGCCCTTACCTGGTTTTTTGACATCTTCTTTAAACGGGGATTCCTGAAACCCAAACAACAAAGTAGCATCATTATATTAGTCACATTGTCTTTACATTAAGCAAATGCTCCAACCCTCAGATGTACAGTAAACAGAAACTACAATGGAGAGTTCAGAACACCGGTGCTCCTGAATGCACCTGGGGCTATGTGTAGGCGCATGTTCACTGGCTAGTCTCAAATGTCATTGACGGAAATGAGACATGTGTAACAGAAACCTCAATTAACAACAATTGTTTGGGGAATGGGGTAAGACTGGACTCAGAAAACAACTTAGCCCGTGATTTTCCCAATTTAACCTTTCGTGAGTGTTTCCTACGTAGCGAGCACCGTGCCCTGTGCTTTCTTCTGGCCTTCTCCTTTAGCGCTCACAGCAATCCAACAATCCAAGAAGCTGGATACTATCACTCTATCACTATTCCATTTTATAACTGAAGAAATACTTAATACAGGTAGTATGATTGCTGTTTCCTCAAAATGACATAAAAATGAGACACACAGAGCAAGTTCTAGGTTATAACGAACCCAGTGGAAACAGACCCAAAGTTTTACATCCCGAACCACCACTGGTATTATCACTCCCAAGTCTTAACTTTCCAAAGGTCTCTAACCTCAAACAAAATTGCCATCTTCATTATCCCACATTGCCCTTGAGGCAAGAAAGTAAAAGCAGAGCTAAAAGAATCTGTCCTAGCCACCCTGTGTAGGCCTTAGCCAAGCTGCAGGCATTTCTAATGTCTGTATGTTCCTCGCTTGACATGCCCAGGGCCTAGATTGTAACCTAGCAACTTCCTTAGACTTTTGTCACCTTTGAGGGCAGGTGGTTGAACTGGTCTCAAGGGCGTGAGCCAATTTGACCTTCCCCCTTGAGCCCGGAACCTTGAGGATGATGTCATGTCTTTCTCAGTTTTATGACCCTCATGTGCACTCTAGCCCTGAAAAGTGAATAAAAGGGAGACAGGGGATTCGGGGTGGGGGGGG